TAGGCTCCAAAGATATTTCATCTCCATCATCAAGTGACTTACACCTTACTAGCTATCCCCTGATTAAGCCCCTGTGAATTTAAAGTCAGTTCTAAGCAATGTAAGTGAGCGAATCTGTCCGCGTTAATGAAGCCATAAGCATAGAATCTCCAAATTCAATGAACTGCTAGATGCCTATATCTCTTCTGAAACAGCTTAGTAGTCAGGTATTTTCTAGGCTGTATCTGGTTTTTAATAAGTTTAATGTGGTACAATTTATAGCGTCACTTATCTGAAAAACTTCATTTTTTGCTGTTGTGTGACTAGTTCAAGCTCACATAGAGTACTGCTGCCGCTGAAGTTAATCCCATCCTGCCACACAAACTCAAAGTGATTAATACCCTGTTATCACCTCTTTGTGCTTGCAGAAACATTCATAAGAATGAGCAGTGAGGTGGATCAGGGAACTGATCTAGGGTCAGCAGAAGAAATGGCTACTTCTAATCTGGATCAGCTTCTGTGTATAGGTCAAAACAAACCCTTCTACAGAGAGTGCAGGACAAAAGAGAGAACTGTAGGTGTGGGATCAGGTGTATGTATGTTTGGGGGCATGAGGGCCTGCATCCTTTAGCAGTAGAGCTGGTTCATGCCAGCTTGAACTGATTGTATGTATTCCGATTATTCTTATCAATATGAGAAGGTTACAAAATATTAATCTGATTTAACCTATACATCATGTGGCTTTGTCCGTAGACACGCTACAGTGTTAAAAGCAACCACTACAAAGGATAGAATGGTCTATTCTGACACCTTTATAAAAACATATTTTTACTTGTATAACTGAAATAACAATGATGGTCTGATTTCACTTTCTGGTTATGTATTCTTTCGGATAGAAGTAGACTTCTTATAATATTGTAGGCTTCTTCACTCCTTTTTTGATTAGGGATCAGAAAGTAAACCACTTTTGTTGGAGATTTTACCATCTTTCACTCTCTCTTCCACGGTGTTCAGCCATTTCTTTCATGTGTGTTCATCCACAACGTTGGTACGTTTTATAGGAGAAGGCTCTGTAGTCTCTGCTGTTTTAATTGAAAACTTTGAATTGGATAAGTCACTAACACTTTTCCTCTCCTAAGGAAAAACTTGCCTGAGGATTTGCAGATGATGGAATACTGATCTGACTATATCAAGACTTAGGTAGTAAGAAAGGGAATTACACATTTTGGAAAAAAAAAAAAAGTATGCCTACTACCAGTTTTGAAATTGTATGTTTAATTAAATTATATCAATCTTAGCTTTATTTTACAAAAGCATATTTGAAAACAAGTTGAGACAGATATGAAGCTGACAGAAGCTACTGTGTCTGACTTTCAGGAGACGTTTGAAATTGAGATGAGGGATATTTGTTCAGTCTAAAAGCTGATGGGATTCTGCAGAGGAATGCGAAAGTCATTTGTTGGGGGGGGGGGGGGGGGGGGGGAGGAGGGAGGAACATTTAGAAACTGTTCTTCCCGTTGTTGACAGTAGATGAGACGTTCCCCACCTATATTTTCAAGGTGTCTGGAGAAAGTAGATAGAAATTGAATGCAATAAAGAGTTTCTTCCGGTGAGTATAATGCAAGATGACCTTTGCTGCCAAAATAGGCAGGCCTGCTCTTTTCCATGCCCTGGCTGTGAATTTTCAGCACCTCACCTGCCTTCAGATCAAACACTTACGTGAATGTGTGGCAAGCTGGATCTAAATGAAAACTGCTTCTTAAAAATTTCTTTCGTTCAAGACTATTTGACTCATTATGCAGAAGCATGATCGTTAGGCAACGCAGGTGATGAGGTAAGCCCATGCAGTAGGGGGACCGTGGTCAACAGTCAGGTTGGATCAAGCGTGTCGTGAGACTGTTCCTTCATACGCTTTCTATATTCAGGGGGCTTCAGCAGCTTCTAGAATACGTCTAGATTAGGACAACCACCCCCACAATTTTTCCCTCGCTGTATTTCCTAGCTCTGTAGTGTCATTTAGCCTATACGTATTTTTAGGTTTTAGCCTTTACCTATCCCAGTACATATTTTGATTACCCCAAAGTTAGGCCTTTGCTGGTTAAGATTATAGCACTGCTCGGAATTTAGGTAATAAATTGTATTCTTATGTGATCTGGAACTAATCATAACAGTAGCTGGCTTCCCAAGGTCACAAATTGGGTTCATGGCCAAAGCAATAATAGTAGGACGCCTCTCCTTTCGTTCCTATTCTAATTAGGCTAAACAGTGGTAAAATAGCTTCTGACGGATGCTGAAGCAGTTGGCTTAGAAGCATGGAAGCCCGGAATCGCTAGTAAATGGTGTAGGGACTGTTGCTACAGAGGAAGACAGTTTGATGTTGTGCTTCTGACATGTCTAAATTATTAGGCTCCTGCATTTTTTGAAAATAATACACGTTTTATATATTGTGGTCAATTTAATAGTGGGTGAATTTATTCATGTATTGCAAAGAATGAATAATTTACAGTAGGAGATTTAAAAGGATTACAGATGATATATTCCCAACGTAAATGCATCGTATATAAAAAAAAAAATTGCTTCGTACAAAACTCGGGTAAAGCGCTGCCCTAAATTAAAATTTCTTTGTGGTGAGGTATATTAAGTGTAACACCTTTACTTACTTTTGATCTGGTATTCTTTAGTATGGGATTGTGGTATGAAATGCTGAATAAGCAAGAGAAAAAGCAAGTTGAGGGTATTAGTTTGTAGATTTTCTGTCACCATGACCTTTTTGCTATGAAAATGGTAATTCCAGGCTCGTTGGGATAAGAGGTAATAAATGGTAGCAGCTAATGTTCCAAATTCTTAGTAACAAAGGCACATGTTCTGAATCTCTGTTGTATGCTGAGAACAATAGTGTCATAACTCATCTATAGTTCCTATTTTCTTTTCTAAAAGTTCATTACCAAAATATGTTATTTATGTACTAAATTAGCAGAATTCCAACTGTTGTTTTTTTTATTTTGTTACAAAAAGGGTACTTTTTGTTGCCTTTCTAAATCTATGTTAGTTCTTCACACCATCTGGAAAGGAGGTAAAATCTCTTTATCTATTTTTACTATCAAATAATTCTGAGCAGCTCTTTAATTTTTTTAACCTGATGTGAGTAGATTGTCATTAAATCTGCTTTTTAAAGTAGAGAATGCAGTCTGTTAAAAACTGAAAGGCATCATTATCATCTTCTGTAATGTTTTCCAGATATGCCCTCCATCCGTGAGCAAAAGGGAAGCACGTGTTTAGGGACTGGCAGTTGTGTAGGAGCATGAGTCCAATCATTAGAGGCAAAGACTCTTAGACAGCTTGGGAGGAAAATTCTTAAGATACAATTGAGAGTAAAACGGGCTTTGTTACTTGTCTTTCAGAGTCGCTGTAGTGATTGACGGTATGTATCTAGTCTGCAAAAAAAACTAGGCTTTCCTCGTCTAGAAAATATTTTCATGACAAAATGCTCTTTTGTTTTATTTTGAATGTATCAGAAGATTATCTGAAAGAAATAGGTTTTCTGGTTGAATATTTAGCGCTGTTACATATATAGTTGTTTTCACTGTTTTAAATAGTCTTTTGCATTAATACGATACCCTTTTGTACGTTACACTGGGGAGAGCTTACCTGCGTGTCCTTTCTGTGAAACAGTTGATTTCCCTTAGCAATAATAGTTAAATTGAAATAATAATACGTTAGTTGGTGTGTTCAGAAAAATAGGAGAGAGAGTAAAGGTGATGGATTGAGCTTCTCTGAGAAATATTCAGAACACCCTTCAAACTGTAAAATAGGGCCCAGAAAGTCTTAATTTTTCGCGCCATCCGAAGACTATTTTGAAAGTAATGGGGAGATAAAAAGTGGAAAGGATAAAAGCTTATATCCTTTAACTGAATAATGTAAAGTTAACTTAGGAAGAGGATAGTGTATTTCAGCGGTTTGAGAAACTATCTGATAGCAGACATAGTATGATGATTCGAACAGACTTTTCAGCTAGCAGATTTTAGAGGATTGCTTGCGTCGAGGAGGGAAGCAGTGACAAACGGCTGAGAGTGTTAACTTTTGGTGCAGGCAGACCTGAAAGAGGATGGCTGCCTTTGGCCACAGTCAGTATGCTCACCCCTGAAAAAAGGCATGTTGTCCCAGGAAGTGGTAGAAGCTTTGTGTGGAAAAATGGGTCTAGAGTAAGAAACATAAAATGAGGGGGAGTAACACGTAGATTATAAAGAGGTATACCTTTTTATCAGAAACGTAGAGGTGTTGCTTTTTTACAGTAATGAGCATAGACGGAGGACTAATGTCTCCTGGTCTATAAAAGGGCCTATTGAAAACTCCCAGGGTAACACTGTATATAAAGTAAACGTGAATGCTAATACAAGGAGATCAAGAAGCGATCCTACGCTGTTGTTTTTTGACAAATTAAATATAGAATATAAGTACATATATGGCTGATGTAGCATAAGCTTTACACAAGCACGTAGGTCTGTTACACTGAGTAGACCTGTTTGTTTTTTTAGGTTGTAGGTGAACTTTGAGGTGAATTTTTAGCGTTTTATCTCCACAAAGGTTACATTTTTGATAATGAAATCAAGATTTTCTTACTTCTTCTGCTCAACTTCTGGCAAAGTATAATCTTAAAAATTCATTTTTCAGTCTGCTCAGTTTTCATTCATTTTCAGATGCTCAGTTTTTCTTGAGTTTTGTACATCCTGTTTGATCTAGTTAAGAACATTGTTTAAAAGGTGATTTTTATTGTTACTGTTAACAGAGTCCTCAGTACTTTCATATTTTGTCGAAAACGTTGCACCTATATTTAACTCAGAGTTTAGTAACATTGTATATTTTATATTTAATTTGATATTTGGAAACAAATGCTTAGGTAATAACTGGGTTTCCTCTCTAGGTATGTATTAGTTGAGGGTCAGCATCGTTTCTTTCAGGCGTGCTAAATTAGCATGAGAAGTATGAGTAACTTCAGGTTTTGCTTATGTTTTAACAGTGAAAGCAAGTTGAATACATTGGTGCAGAAACTTCATGACTTCTTGGCTCACTCATCAGAAGAATCTGAGGACGCAAACTCTCCTCCAGCATTCTCTGAAAACAAAACCATAGGTAAAAAGAAATTTTATGTTTTCGTTTTCAATGTGTATATGATTCTTAAGTCAAACAACTTTGTGCCTTTATTTCACTATATTGCACTTCCGTGGGGCAGTTATTCATAGTCTTAATGTGGTTTAATTAGCTGGTGATATCTTAATAGATATACAGTAGGCCTTTGATACGTTTTTTTTCGGTTCCAAATGTTTTCTAAACGGGGAAAAAGCAAATACTACTTGTAATTTACTGTTTACAAAATAGGAGATCAGTAGCATGCATGCGTTTGCTTTGGTAGCGGTTCCTTGGAGAAGTTTTTATTCCGTTTTTCAAGTTGTTTTACTTTCTGTAAGTAAATCTTTTTTCAAGCTTTTCTGGTCATTGTAACATGGAAGAAGTTCTAGAGATTATGCTTCCTTAGTTATTTGGAAAGAATTTCTACATTTGGAAACATCTGAAGAGAAAATGATACTTCTGAAAAACATTGAGTGTTTTGCTAGGTCAAATTTAGTATCGGTAGTTTTTACTTACTGGTTAGAAACAGGTAACAGGAATTTTAAACGCTTTATTTTGTTTACAGCATGGAAAAATGAAATTATTTCAAAACAGTATCAAGTAAAATTTGTTTGCACTAGAATTTAATTTGGACTGAGTTCAGGTGCAAGACTTTTCAGACTACACTATTTCATAGCAATGAATTAAAATTGGGGTGAAATGATAGAGTGCAGGAGAAGGAGAGTTTATTTGCTGTAGTATGGAATTCATGTTCAAATCCCTGTTGTCTTCCGTAGTAGACTTGTGTGTGTTTTCTGGTGTACAGTTTTTGTCTTTTAATGTTTTATCCTGAGCAGAGCGTCTACTGCAATGTGGTGCTATAACCCCCTTGTGTCAGCGTCCAGCTGAAGTGTTAACATATGAGAAAGAAATTATGCATGTGGTACTTCAGCAGAATAATAAACTCAGCAGTGATGTAGATGCATATGTCTCAAAGTGAGATTCTTCTGAGAAGCGTACTGCTTTGAAACAAACCTTTTTCCTTTATGCTATGTAGTCACAAAGTAGAATTGCCTCTGTGCCCTAAAGTACAGATTTACTTTGAAACAGTGGTTGAAACTAATAACATACATTTTTCAATGTTGTATCTGAGAGCCCAGTTTTTTTTTTTTTAAAGGACATATTAAAGTTGAAAAGTCAAGAATTATACACTTAAATATTAGGAAATGCCAGAGTTAACTGCATAGATTTACTTTTCCTCCCAGCTTTCTGTGCGTTGTGACACAGTCTTTAGGATCCGCACTACTTGTATATATTCTTTTTGCCCTCAGGATGCTCACTGAGTGCGTAAGTAATGAACGTGATTGGGGCTAAGTCAGGTTTATATGGTTAAAGGACCTCCGGAATTTGGAGCACATGTGAAGTATTAGCTAGAGTGTTGTGAAGAGAGAGATGATGACAAAGGTGGTTAAGCGTGGCTCAGGAGAGTTGGGACATATCCCTACCACATACACACCCTATCCCACAAGAGCAGTCGCTTGTTGAGCGCTTCGTCTCGTACGCTGCTATGCAGTTGAACTGTACCATCATGCTTATATGCTAGGAGCGATAAGTAAAGTAAAATTGTGCAGATAACCTTGATTCTGGCTTTTCTTAATTTTTGAGTACTTGATTTTACAGCCTTAATATTGTTTCTTAATCCTCTCTGCATTCGAATTGGATGACTCCCTCTTCTACGTTGCGTGGGTGCCAGCAGGAGGATCATTGAGAGCGTAGGAGAGACTGACTTCCTGCTCTTGTTTCAAGTGACCGGCCCCTGCCCTGGAGCAGCAGTCACAGGGAAAATCCTGCCCTCTCATAGCCCTGAAGTGGATGGAGCATGTGCAGTTTGGTCAGCGCTAGGAGCTGTGAGGGGATGCAGCATGCTCGGTTATTCTATGGGGATGGCGCATGTACAGTCCAGTCACTTGTAGAAGCCGTGAGATGATGGAGCATGTTCAGTCACTTTTGGGGATTGCGCATGTGCAGCCTATGAGGGCAGAATCTGCAGAAGTCTTAGCTACTGGAATCAAAGAAGTCTCTACTGAGCACATATAAATCTACAGAAAATATCAGTTTGTAACTTGGGCAAAATTAATTGGGCAAACAATCAAAGGTGGACAGAGTCCAGTCTCCAAAGGAAATGTCACCCTTTTGCCAAGTTTCAGATTCTTTTCTTAGATTAGGGAAGTGCCTGTACGATTCCCAATAAACGATTTCAGCTATTTGAAAGGAGCAAAATCTTTGTTTTGATTTTTTTTTTCCCCTCCCCACCTAGCTTCACATGCAGAAATGGCTGGATAATTTTGGCTAAAATTTTCCCAAGCAGTTCAGCCTAAGACACACCCAGCATGAAATTTTCTAATCAAAGACATATCCGTTTTTACAAACTGAAAGGGTTTTTTTCATGCAAAGTGTCAGGATATAGGAAGTTGGAATGCTTGCAGTGTCGTGTTATAACTGCAAATGGTAATGATATTTATCCTGTAATTTTACTACCACTTTACTTGTCTGTTTCCCGGTACTATATTTATTAAAATACTGCTGCTACTATCTTACTATCATATTAAGCCTTTGAGCAACTTTATACAGCTACAATTAATCACTGAGCTGGAAACTTCCCCTTCTTCCGCTACCTGCACCTGGTGGCCAGAGCAGATACTAGTAGATTTTTGGCCATTTACATGTCTTTAGGTTACATAACCCACAGTTCCTAAGATAAAGAAAAGGGAATTTGTGTCATATCCTGCGTAAAATAGGATTTTTTTGTCCACGGTTCCATCACCCTAGATTTAACATTGTGTTTTTAATGTCAGATATGTAAGGGAAAATACTTAAAGTAACTTCTCAGAAATTAAAAAAAAATAAGCACCATCTGTATCATCTGTGCATATACGGTTGCCCTCTTATTTCCTTAATATGATGTCTTCATCAACGAGGCCTGTCAACAGCTTACATAACTTAAAGTAATTTCTAAATAATTTCCGTAGCATTTGTGGCATACAGTGAACTGTTTTGTTGTTGTGCAACAGGTTTGTCTATGAAACTCACACAGTCATTCTTTATTTATGTTGATAAAACATAAACAGTACTATGAGGTACAATTTAAAGAGCTGCTAGTAATTCTTGCATTTCAGTGGATTGCTTTTCTTTCTATAGGTAAAAGTAGCGAACCTGAAAACAGTCCAACTCCAATGGAGAACAACAGAGAAGAGGTAGAAATAATAATGCTTTTGAATTCTGGTTGTGTGGCTAGCGCAGAATAGTTAGTAGAGGAAACTGAATTCACTTTGCTGCTTTTACAATGAATGCTTAACGAATACTCTCAGAACCATATGTAGGAGATGTCACCGTCCTATATGCTGAATAGAAACGTTGGCTATAGAATATTTGAAAATAGTTTTAAAAGTTATCTTTTAAATTTTGAATGATATCCACTGCAATTTAAGTATACATAAGCATATGTTCCTCCCTCCCTCTTCCTTTTTTCTAAATTATTGAAACATACTAATTTACTTGGACAACTTCATTTTTTTTATGATGCTCAATGAATTCCTGGGTGAAATTTGTCTAATATACTTTACAGAGTTAATTTTTACTTACTCGAGGCATGCAATTGCATTTTTGTTAAGAAGTGGAAAAGTCTTGTAAGCTGTTAATATTGAGAAAGAATGTATTGTGAAGGGAGGAATTGTTTCCCCCCTAATTTAATTCTTCGGTTTGCATGTAAACAGACTTTTATAATTTATTTATTTTAAAAGAATTGGACTTTGGCTCTTATTTGTGCTTATGCCCTGTCACACAGATAACAATATGTTCTCAAATGTTCTTTCAGCCAAATATGGTTCTGTTTTTCAGTAAAGATGGAGATACAGGAATATTGTTAAACTTTAGCAAAATTCTTCTTTATAGTGTGTTCATCAAAGAAATTTTTTATCTGGTATGTCTTCCTGTTGGAAACATTTTGATTGACACTATGTTTATACATAGAGAAATCACAGGTGCCAGTGTCGTGTCTTAATTTGCCTTTATTGCAGTAAATTCAGGTATTTATTTGATAGTGCCCAAACCTGGTTACCATATGCACGTGCAAATCTCTAAGAAATCTAATTTCATGAAAAGCCAGCCCTTTGCGGCATATGAGCCCGATACCAAGCGTTTGCATTCTGCTGGCAATTCTTTTGCCTTACGGTGTGGATGCACGCTGTAGCGGTTGTGTGGTGATGACCCTTAAGGACCAGCCTTGAAGTACCCTCCGTGTCTGTATGTCAGGAAAAATAGTAATAAGTGCTGTGAGGCGTAAAACGAGGAGTCCTGGTGGCTTGTACAAAAGTGAAGATGTACAGCAATGCGGAGGCAGGTGGGTGTGTGTACTCAGCGAGGCTTTTACATTGTGCTGTGGCTTATGCCATCCTTCCATGTGCTAGTTATGGAAGTTCATGTTGCACTGAAGAGGTACAGACTGGGAGACCCCAGAACTGTGTTTGATTAGGGCTAACCATTGCTCAGGGGCTGTGCTCAGTCCCTGCTCCAGAAAGCTGACAGTAATTTCAGCAGGCGGTGGAAGTTGAAAATTGCAAGGAGAGAATTTCCTCTGTTTCAGGAAGACTCAGCACTTGAGATAAGTGCGGTGTCTTTCTCTGAATGTTTCAACCCATAACAGTGCGTGCTCTCAATTTCTTTTGAGGAATATGCTGAGGTTTAAAGTGATCCAGCTTACAGTGTGGTAACACTTAATTTAAAACGTGCTTTTAAAGTAGTTGGGACTTCTTGGGAGTCTTACTGCTTATCTAAAATACCATAGTTTAACTGGTTTTAGTAGTTTAACGGAACTGGCTTGATGAAGTCGTATGTTACTTGATGCTTTTCTGTAATTATTAAAGAAATCTGGTGACTCCTGAGATGTTCGGGTTTTTTTAGTTAAAGTAAGAAACTATTTTTGTTGACCGATGACTTGGTGAAAAATGTAGTGACTTTTTAATATTTTCTTGTTTTTAGGGCAATAGTTCTTCAGAAAGAAACAAATCCTTAGGATCGTCACGTTCAAAAAGGTTGGTTCAGAAAATAGGAGGAAATAAATAACTCTGTGTTATGTGAAACTATAGCATAAGTCATGACAGATGCTTCTAGTATAAGTTGGCCTAGATCCATTGAGTTAACAGAGTTCTGTTAAAACAAATGAGTGCCTAATGGAGTATATAAAAATCAAACCATCTTTCATAGTCAAAGAAAGCTTGGTTTTTATTAACAGAGGCAACAAGATTAGCCTTCAGCTTCTAACTGGACAATGGTGCTTACACAGTTGCTACTTCACCCTTACTCTGTGTATAGGCTTCTTTTAAAACCATGATTTAGGTCATGTGGAAAAATGAGTTTGTGTACGTTATTGCTGGGACACGGTAGAATCAAAATGTGCCAGTGAGTTGTTCTGTGCAGAAACTGCCATTTGCTGTATCTCTGTTTAATCTCTTTTTGTTCTTTGATTTAAAAAGTGTGGAATTAACTGTTTATAAGATTGAACGTAGAGAATACAGATTATTTGTGCCCTAAGTAACAGCAGATGTATTCCAGTAAAACTCCTTAACTTTTGCTGTCAGCTGGTATTCCTTCAGGTTACGTCCTTCATGATTAGTATATTTTATTTTGTTCTTTTTTTAAATCCTAGTATATTGTGTAGATAGGTGACGTCTTCTAAATGCATGATTTCAACAGCTGCCTTCTTACTGCTCGTTACTGTGTCATATATCTCTTTTCAATCCGTGTTTCTGATTATTCTTTTATACTGTCTGCTGGATATTAAATAATACTCTTCATTCTCCCTTTTCTGTTTGGTTTGATTCCAAGATTACTAGTATAGTTTCATACTCTACAGTTTCTCCCTTATCTTCTGAATTTGACTTCCTGCCAAACTATGTCCTTTCATTCACATCGTTTTTGTAGGCTTAATTTTTGTTTCTTCTTTATCATTAAAGGTATTTTCACACATACATTTATCATATTATGCCTGCTATTGAGAAAAATAGCATCCTACAGTGACTTCCCTAGTTTATGTTTTGCCTTTATAGTACTAAGAATTATGCTCAAAATTCAGGATTTTTTTTAAATGCTTCGACATAGTATTTTTGCTCACTTTACTAGGTTGAATTCTAAATTATTTCTGTATGAAATTCTGGCTACTAGTCTTTGTATTCAACGCTCAGCAGTAGCTTTTTCATTTCTTACTGCATTTCCTTTATTTCCTTGCAAGTGTCTTTGCTGCCAAGCTGCTTTTTGTCATTTGCTAATATCTGTGTGTTCTCCTTGGGCTGCCTTGGAATGACATACAAATTTTCCGAGCAGGAATCTACTTGTGTTTCATTCGGGCTCCTTTTCTAAAAGTATGACTTCCTGCATACCTTTTTAAAAATATACCAAATCTTGTTTTGTCCCCCCCC